GTTTCACTAATTGTAGAAAACATGGAAATCATGAAGTGGTGCACCTAATACTTTATATATAGCAATTGGTCATACAAAATATAATGATATAGCATATTTTTCAAGCATGAAATGCGTGGATTGTCCCGTGAAAGAAAAAACACGAAATTAGGTCATTGAATAAAGGCTCCATCTACTTCGAAGACAAATACAGCGATTTGGCCACGATGCATTTACATAAGGTCAAACCTTATTAGGAGATTAATCAACTTAAGTAGATTTTTATTTTGATGCAAAATTTAATATGAGACAGTTTAACATGTCATACATTTTGAATTGAATATATATAATTGTCTAACGATTATATATATTTGTAAACTCTTTTAAAGATTTTATAAATTCAAACACAATTAAGTTGCGGTCTCATAATAAGACACCGGTTTCACAATTACGTTGCGGTTCTCTATTTAGCTTTTGAGAATATTATATATAAAGTTTAGACAAACATCTTTAGAGAGTAAAATATTTAATTTTAAGTTGTAATTTTAGTTCTGTATATTTCAAAAATGCTGATTTGGAGCACATGCAGACGAAATTGAAATCTTTTTAGAACATACAAAACTAAAATTGCAATTTGTTCAATATTTGAATCAAAATTAATATACAGTTTAATATCGCTAATATAACTAATTTATCATACATGGGAATTATTATTTTTCTTTTGGGAGATGATAGTATGAACTCACCATTTAACGTGCAGTAAAGTCAGCAGCAGTATGCTTTGTTACAAATGAAATCTGGTGCTTCATTATTCCTGCGCTTATATAATAGTCAAATATGAATCGCTGTAATAGAAAACTAGTACTGAGATGCACGGGGTGCACAGTTTTAAGGTTATTTATCCAGGCTTATAAATATGTACATGAATAAAGAAAAATGTACGGGATATATATAGTACGTGCGAAGCATGCACGAGATATATTTATTTGGATAATATTATATTATAAGATGTAATATTCAATAAAAGTTTATAATACGCAAGAAATTGTACAATGCTCAATAAAAATTTTATAATATTCAAGTGGAGTCTTAAAGTCTCTTGTACATTAAGACTACTGACAAAATAATATTTTAATCAATGAGTATCCTTTCCTTGTAGCCAAATTCTGAATGTGATTTGAGGAGTACAACAAATCCATATATAGCTGACTTGCTTTTTTCATTGTAGTTTTTTTTTTTTTTTTTTTTTATAATGAATTTAAAGATATTCTAAAATATAGCAAAAATTAATTTTTTTATTACAATTAGGAATTTTACTAAATATAAACTCTCAATCTATGGTGTTAATCAACGTTTAAGTCTAAAAAATTAGGAATTTTTACCTCTTTTAATCAACGTTTAAGTCTAAAAAACAATAGAGTTATTATAAGTTTTTTTTCTACATCTTTTAAAACATTAAATATGAGCATGTTAGGGCTAGCTTGTAAAATAATTAATATATTATCTCACTAAAACATTTATACTAATAAAAATTTAATTTTAGCATATAAATTTATCCCTTGATATAAGAGAAAGTAACAGTTTTACTTATTGTTGTTCACCATATAATATTTAATTATTATTTTATTATATAATAAAAAAGGAATATTGTTAAATAGTGTAGTAGAATTGTTATAAAATTATATGATTTTTTTTTACAATATGGATTTAATATTTTTTTATGATTTGATAATATAAACAAATCTATACTTAACTTTGACAAATAAAACAAATAAATACTTTAGTAAGTATTTAATGTATATACTAAATAGGAATATATTTGATATAATCAAATACCAAATATAATCAAATAAGTCAAAGTGTACATTTTTATTTGGTATTTGATTTTTTTATTATTAAAATCTTTTTATTATACTTACCTTTTTAAAATAAAACAAATAAATAAATTAATTAAATAAATAAAATATTATAATACCAAAATAGTAATGACATTTAATACAGTTGACTTTTCTGGATAGTAAATGTAGTAAATAGAATATCCTTTTATATAGTATAATACGGAAATAGTAATGCAATAAATGCTGTTGACTTTTCTGACTACTTAATTTGGTAAATAGTACCCCCTTTAATATAAGTATAGATTAACTATAATTTCACACAATTTATGTAAATACAATGATCACTTTTAAGGAAGTAAGAAGAATTATATGGTATTTGAAACGTATAAATGTATCGGGAGTGCGCTCAACAATGTACGAACAAGTATAAAAACTAAAATTTGCGGAAGCAATAACCAAAGATTTAAAACTTTTCAGGGAAGCATCTCACTTCCCCTCAGAGCTCTTTCATTGATAACTATCAAACACATAGTTTGGATTTACAAAATAGAACTCCCTTCTATTCTAACCACAACTATGATCTAGCCTATCAATTACTTCTCCGACCACGTCCCGTGGACTTATTATTCACACTTACTCCCTAAGTGTGAAATGACTAGAAATGAACAAATCAGAGTAAGGAAAATAATACAAATGAAAATGGATTCAGTTCTTCGGCAATTGACAATTCCGAGAACTAAACTCCAAAAGAAATAAGGCGTAAGAAAATCAACTTGAAGCTTGAAGGTAAATGGATAAAAGTGATAGCTCCAGCAGCCGTCCTTCAATCTTCAAGGTAGGTTTATATATGATCTCTTTTCTCAAAGAACTCCCACGATCCTTGGTCTCTCATTTGGTATATCCAAGAAGTCCTACCAAGTAAAGACTCTTCTTCTCTCTCCAAATATTCACTTGCCTTAGTTATCCGATCTCTTCCTTATCTCCCGTGATTTTCTACTTGCGTGAGACTCATATCCATGTGCACCGATTTCCTACAAGGTGTAAATACACAGTAAGTCCAAGTATTCTTCTAACATAATATAAACTAATTTAGGAAACAAGAACTTCCCTTATTTATGCATGCAGGAACTTCCTTTTTGAACTCATGCCAAAATATTATATCTTTCAGTATTGATTTTCATATGTTAAATAATACTTTAAATTAATTAGTATTTAATAAATAATTCTATTATATTGATTTTCATATAAAATAAATAGCACCCTTAAACGAATGTGTTATCAATTATTAAATTCTAATAGTTATCGTATATATATTAAATACTATATATATTTATCCAATTAAGTTTTGTTTTTGTCGTTCATTCGTTTTTTGTCTTTTTCTTCTTCTTCTTCTTTTTTTTTTTCTATCGATTATTTAAGTTCCCTACCAAGCTACATAAAAACAAATGTGTTTGATTTTCATAATTGAATTCTTGAGATACATGGAGCAATTACTAATTTCATTGTGAATTTCAGAAACAAATAAATAAAATTAAGAAGTTGCTATTTCATTAATCCAAATGTATCCAATGTTTCACCATCGAATTATTTATTATGTAAAATATTAAATGTATCCGAAATTCCATTTTTTTCCCATACTTATTACAAAAAATCTCTGTATATAATTTAATGCAAAATATTGATTGTAATATTTCCAATTTTCCTTCTTGATTCGTTAATTTTACTTGATGATTATATATTTTATTTTACATTAATCAATCACGAAATGTAACGTTAAACTACAATCAGCAATTAATTTTTTCCATTAACTATAGAAGCTAAAGCTAACTATTACATTTTATATCAATTTAAGTGAAGTCATATTTTTTAATTATTTTGTTATATAACATTACTGGCTAATTATAAATATAAGGAAGATACCTATCAAGAATTCTATTGCATTTTTGTTTCTTCAAACTTTTTATTCTAATATTGTTATTATTATTTTTTCATATTATTAAGCAATATTTCTTTAAAATTAGCTAATTTTTATTTTTAATGGCATAACCAAAACACCTTAAAATCACATAAATAGTGTCTATAATAATATAATAAATTTTCAGTCAATTAATTGATCATGGTCTCTCAAAATTATAAAAAATATATTATTTATTGCAATTTATGTTATAAATATAGTGATTTTTATGTAAGTTATACAATTTTATAGATGTATTATTCATTTAACTTGTTGTCAAAATTTTAAAATACAATATACTCATTATCTAACTTATAATTTTAAATATTATATATANGCCAAACGCACGACCTTGCCAGCTGGCAGCTGCCACACCAGATATTCAAAAACAACCCAATTGGCGTACCGTCAAAACACACAGACACCTCTTATATTTTCTCACTCACAATTCTCTCCCTCTCAAAATAAATAAATAAATAAACAATAAATGAAACAATCACAATTTCCACGATTTTTTATTTCTTCATTTCTCGTTTTCAACCCGCATAGAAATTCTCGCATATAAAAAGGCCATTAGCAATTCAGTACAACTACAAAATACCTCACATTCAAAGCGAAGCAGTTACCGAGCCAGCGCCGGAGCAAGATAAGTACGGAATGAAGTTTTTCTTCCCCATTCTGCATTTGATTTGTATAGATGTTTTTCTTCCATTAATTCAATCTTTTCTATGGCGTTTTAATCATTAGATCTCACGTCCACAAATCCTTGTTATTTTTCCTGTTTTGATAATTGTGTTGAGGACGGATTTCATCGATAGCTAAATGTTGCATCCGAAAATTTGAATTAGAAAGTTTGAATCGGCATCGATCCGCTGGAGCTAATTTTGTTTGATATATGTTGCTGATTAGGTGCATTATGGGGAGTTTGCGAGCGATTTGGAGGCATCCTGATGACTTGTATCCGATGGTAAAGCTGAAACTGGCGGCGAGGAGCGCGGTGAAGCAGATCCCGGCGGAGCCTCACTGGAGATTTTGTTACTCGATGCTTCATAAAGTTTCTAGAAGTTTCGGCCTCGTTATCCAGCAGCTTGATACTGATCTTCGTGATGCCGTGAGTTTTTGTTTTATCGATTTTTCAATTAATCCTTACATTATCTGAGAGGAAATTTGCTTAGTTTTTGCTTACAGCGATGGTTGTTGTAGGCTTCGTGTTCTGAATGGATTTTTCTAGGTTTTAACGACCACATTTTATCATTGAATAATTGAATTGCTGTGACATGCAACAAAACTATATTCAGTTTTTGGTATCTATTTATTGTTCTGAGTCTTAGGTTGCGACTGGATTTGAAAGCACTTCTTCTCACAGTAGAAATTGTTTATTTAGCTTGCATGCGAGTCTAAGCCAACAGTGCTGACTTATTGCAGAATAGACTGGTTTGCGTTGGTGTTGCTTCTCTGAATTAAAAGACTGTTACTAAGCACAGAATGCACTTGCTTCTTCCTCTTTCAGCTAAAATGATCATTTTGGTTGTCAGTTTTCTAGTAAGGAGTAGTATCGTGTATTTATTGCACTTTGCACATATTGTGTGGAAAAGGTGCTTGAAACAAACAAGAAAATGAAAATGATATTATAACACTGATATTGATATTCATTACCTCAAATCAATCATTTGTTATTCGCGAGATGTTGATGTTTGGATTTTTTACTTTTAGGCTAGCCATATACTATGCACAGTAAATATTTTGATCCTGAACATCTCGATAGACATATTATGATAGCATATATTTCATAGTCCATAGTCTATGTAACTTAATGTATGCTTAATAAATTTATGTCATGTGTGAGTTGTATTTTTCATGTTAGTTTTGCATCCTTATATATTCAGTCCAAAGAATGATTCAGCTATTTTTCCTAACTTCCCAGGTTTGCATTTTCTATTTGGTTCTTCGAGCACTTGACACTGTTGGTAAGCTCTAGAAATCATAATAGATTTTTTTAATCATCATCAATGTAGGCAACAATCTTATTTGTTGATTATTTTGATAGAGGATGATACAAGCATCGCGGCAGATGTCAAAGTACCCATTCTGATGTCTTTCCATAATCACATATATGACCGTGAATGGCATTTTTCATGTGAGTTTTTCAACTTCTGCCATTTAGTCTGTATGATATACTCTTTGAATATAAGTCGTAAAGTTGAAGGGGCATGTTGGTAGGTTTTTCACATTTTAGTTCACAGCAAGATTCTTCCCCAAAAATTTTTACTCCTTGGTAAAGATATCCTCCAAATTATTAGCTGTCTTCTTGTCCCTCATATTTGAGAGGTAGAAAAAGATAAATGTCCCTTAAATGTTATCACGAGACGGATATTCTTCTCAACTTATTGTGTTATACTCGGAAATTGAGGCGGTTACTTTTCCAATGTATACGAATATCCTTTAATTTATTTATTATTATAATTATTGCTGTTGCTGTTTGATTTAACATACGTATAATGAAGGTACATTGCTGTGTTCTTTTACATTTTTGCTTGACAGGTGGTACAAAGGACTACAAAGTTCTAATGGATGAGTTTCATCATGTTTCCACTGCTTTCCTGGAACTCGGACGCGGGTATTATTTGTAGAGTAATTATTAATGTTGTGATCTTTCTATAAGTTTAAACCAAAAACGTCAATGTCTGTTATATGAAACAAACTTGGTAGTGGGTGGTGTTGATGAATAGAGCTAGGATTAGATAGTGTATTAGATTAAACAAACAGCTTCCGTTAACATCAGCCTGAGAATCAGCCAGAAGTTTTCTTTTCACTTAGTTGAAAAAAACCTAGTTAAGTCACTGATACAGGAAACAACAAGAGGAGGAATTGGATTTGCTTTATCTAAAGATTTCGGTATTATTCAATTGAATCTAATGGAGAACATTCATGTCCTGGCCTAAATATGGATGCACGTTGTTCAGTTGCGTGCATTCTCAGTTTATTTTACAGCTACCAACAATATTGTACAGATTCAGAAATTATGTAAATGACTAGGTTGTGATGCAAGAATGTAGTTTAAGACAAGGAGTTGCTACAAAATAAACTACTTGAAGAAGTAGATTTTTCCTTGTGCGTCCAAGTGTGGCTTGAAATTGGATGCTAGGCATACTGTTGCTCAATTCTAAATTTGATTTCAGTAGATAAAAGGTTCCCAGTCCAAAGGGAGGCATAAGTAGATGTCCATAATCCATATTACATTATCACTATACTACCTAATTTGCACATAATTGCTCTTCATAATACTGTGGAATATGGTATTGATGTTTGGTAGAATATGCCAAAGAAATGTAGATGCATATCTACCCGCCTAGTTTTTTAAGAACTTGGCTGAAAATTGTGTTCATGATACTGTGGAATATGGTAATTGGAGTTTGATATATAACTAGTTCAATATATATATTTCTTGACAGACTGATTTCTGAACATGTGGTGTAATATTCCTTTTCCAGTTATCAGGAGGCAATTGAGGATATTACCATGAGAATGGGTGCTGGAATGGCAAAATTTATCTGCAAGGAGGTATACCGGAAATATTGTGCCTGAGAAGCAGTTTCCAAATGCTGTTATAGAAACTGTGAAATTATGTGTTCAGTTTTCACGAGATCAACTTTTAGTATCATACCATTATCTGATTGCTTCAATATTCGAAAAATATTTTCTCAAGACAAATCTGATAAAGCAACCATCTAATGTTTTTGCTGCGACAATGTTAATAATAACAATGTGACATCATTTGACCTTAACTAATGATATCTAATTAAGAGTTCTCAGTCATATCATTAGTCCTCTACTCCAAATGAAAATCTTACAATGTTACTTATTATCATTTTCTCATTCCAGGTGGAAACAATTGATGATTACGATGAATACTGTCACTATGTAGCTGGACTCGTAGGATTAGGGTTGTCCAAGCTATTCCACGCTTCTGGGAAGGAAGATCTTGCATCAGATGCCCTCTCCAATTCCATGGGTTTGTTCCTTCAGGTACTAATTCGATACCTGCCAATAAGTTTTTACCTTAGATATTAATGGACAGGGAAACAATTACAACTGCTCGTATTTTTACAAATAATGCAGAAAACCAACATTATTAGAGATTATCTGGAGGATATTAATGAGATACCAAAGTCACGCATGTTCTGGCCTCGTGAAATTTGGAGTAAATATGTCAACAAGCTTGAGGTAATATCTTTTCCCATTTGATTCAATACACCTTTTCAGTAGTCAAATTACACCAGAAATATGAGTTTATCATTAAATCAATGGAATCTTTATCATATTTTATGCGATATGTTTTCTCAGGACTTGAAATATGAGGAAAACTCAGTTAAGGCTGTGCAATGCCTAAACGACATGGTCACAAATGCTTTGGTGCATGTAGAAGACTGCCTGAAATACATGTCTGCTCTGAGAGACCCAGCTATCTCTCGCTTTTGTGCGATTCCCCAGGTAGATCTGCATCTACTTTTCTTTGGCATATTTTAGCCCTTCGGAGCACCTTTATTATCATCATTGTTAATATCATTATAATTAGTTTTGCTAAAGCCTTCTGCATGCATATCTAGTTACTTCACTGCTGGAGGTTGCAGGTATTAAAATGATTTCGAAGTTTCTCCTTCTGTATCTGTCTAGTTCTCTAGTGATTTTTCCACTCAATTTTCTCATTTTTGACCCACCATCTTGTGGCGCAGACATTTTATTTTCTTCTTTCTAAAACACTAGCCATAGAGCAGTTTATTAGAAATAGTGCCGTTGGCAGTAAGATTTGTGCGAGTTAATATGATATAAGTATGAGTAAAAAGTGTTGGGTTAGTTTGACCGCTTTGGCAATCTCAAGTGAATCTTCTATTAATAGTTTTATACTTCACGTCTCTTTTTTAGTGGATAATACAACATAATTTGCTTTCTGGATTTGGTTTAGCATGATGCATTCACTGCATTCAGCACTGCTTGAAAATGTATGTTTATACCATCAAAGTGGTTCTGATTTTGGTTCTTATGTTTCCAGATAATGGCAATTGGCACGTTAGCTTTGTGCTACAACAATATTGAAGTCTTCAGAGGTGTTGTGAAAATGAGACGAGGTAAGATTAACACTTTTGGTGTGCTCCTTGTGGTATATTAATTTAACCCTTCATTATCATGGATCGAGTCTCTAGTTTTTTGTTATTTATAAGGTCACATTTTATTTATTTTATATTATTATTTTTTTTTTCTTTTTTTGGGGATTTGGGTGAGTATGCAGTGATGGGTTGATATGCACATGAGCATTAAGTGTATACTCCCTCCTATTCGAAGCCGTCTTAAGGGTTCAAAATTCTTTCAATTAAAGCGTCATTTTGGGAGTTTAGATACAAAATGTGAACCATTTAAAAAAAAAAACATAATAAAAATAAATAAAAAAATTGCTCTCCATTTATTACCTCTATTTTGTTAGATCGCAGTCTTCCTACTTAAGTGTTCTGAGTAACTTAAGGATGTTTGGACATAAAAGAGCTCCTAACTACCGATTATCCCCAAATTAATTCTGTTAACTTATCAATGATGGTTTAACTGAAGTACGATACATTACATAGGTAGCTTTCTCATGAGTACATTATAATTCCACCGAGCCTTTCCCTATTGTGGACAAGTGAGGCTGGGCTATATCTTCCCTCTGCTTCATCTCATTTTCGTGTTCATTTGTTGTTAAATCGATAGAAGATCCTAATTTGTTCCCTTTTTCTTTTCTTTTTTTCCCTCCAAGGTCTTACTGCAAAAGTTATTGACAGAACTAAAACTATGGGTGATGTCTATGGAGCTTTCTATGACTTCTCTCGTATGATGAAATCTAAGGTAGGATTCTTTACTATGCTTAATAAGCTTGAGCTGGTAAAATTAATGCTAATAAACAATGTTAATGCCGCTTGTCGACCATTATTTGGTCAATGCATCCTAACAAATTGAGTCTTTTCAAACTATTTGCAAAACACCGTCCACACAAGATTTTCTAGGGAGTGATTTTAACTCAGTGCAACAATTTTTTTTTTTTTTTTTTNTCCAGAAGTGTGTGCTATGTACTAAAATTCATCAAGCTACACAGTAGCATTTAAATTGAAGGATTTGTTAAAAAAAAAAAACTGTTTGTTTGATGGGGAATATTGTAGGTTGATGACAAATGTCCTAATGCTAGAAAGACTAAAGACAGATTAGAAGTGATCTTGAGAATTTGCAGGGATTCTGGAACCTTAAACCAAAGGTAGTTTTAAATTTCAATGTTTTTCGAAAATTGTCATTAAGGAAAATCTTTTTTCAGCTGTTGATATTTTTCTCTTTTTTTGCTAGGAAATCTTACATTATCCAGAGCAAACCTCAATACGATCCAGCTTTGGTTAGTTCTCAAAAAAGCTGCCTTTATTTATTTGAAGTTGTTTGTCGAGTTAAATGATCTTTAAATTACCTTAATTTATCCTTTTGCAGATTGCGGTCCTGGTCATCATAGTAGCCGTTCTTCTGGCATACTTATCTGCAAGTCGACTGTCTAATATTTGTAAGTTTTCTGTCGTCAACTGTGGTTTATTGCTGTGGAAATACCTTCCAAAAAAAAAAAAGAAGACTTCATGTTAAGTTGCACAATTTGATACGGGCACATTCTACATATCAATTCTACTAGGTAACCTATTTACATCAATTTACAAAAATGCAGTTATTGTCAATTGCATAGGATAAAAATGGATATTTTAGATGGGGGTGCAATAGTTGGCACAGCACAACACGAAACATGAACAACGGATTAGAAAACATGACCACATAGATAAATGCATTGAAACATGGCACACTGCACGACCCGAAACACGGAATAACAAAAAAAAAAAAATAGTTAAAGTTGGATTTATTATCATATTTATGATCAAATAATATCGACAACATAAAAAACGAGAGTGGGATATAAACACAACATGATAACTAGATCACGACACCTCTCATTTTAGGGTAATTTTTACACCCTTCACTATCATAGTATTTTGGAAAGCAAGCTGTAAAATAAAAAAGACAGGAAAAAATAACCTTCTTATTTATTTTGTAAAGGCTTAGCTTCAAAACATATAACCAAGAAAGAATGTTGTACTCGTGAGTTGGAACTTTATTTATACCAAAACCAACTCAATAGACACACGATTGTAG